TATATTTCTTTTAAAATTTAATTTTCATATCAACTTTAGAGAAATGTATTGTTTTTAGATTTTTCCAAAAGAATTAAAAAAAATAAAGACCCTGTTTCTTAAAAAGATTAATGTTCGATAACACCTATAATATAATATATTATATAGAAAATAATAATATAATAATCATAATTAATGATAATGTTAAAAAAATTTAAACTGATTTTTAAAATCGAATAAATTGTCAATCGCACAATAACTAGTATTATATACCTTTTGTGCTGTAAAATTAAGAAAAACACAATAATATATTATATTTCTCATTTTACAAAAATGTACATTAAGCTTTTTATTTTATAGAATAATTATTTTTAAATTAAAACAAGAATTTTGACTTGATAGGGGTAATTTAGTCTTTTCCGATTTTCTATTCAAGGGGGTTATGTGCAAATCTCATACCATATGGGGGCCATGTGCAAAATTTCAAAACCATAAGGGAGTTATGTGCCTAATTTCATACCATAAGGGGGTCATGTGCAAAATGTCGAAACCACAAGGGGGTTGTGTGCCTAAATTCATACCATAAGGGGGTCATGTGCAAAATGTCCAAACCACAAGGGGGTTAAGTGCTATTTACCCTTGTTTATATTACATTTTTTCGGTAGTCCCCGTGCAACGCACGTGGCAAAATACTAGTATAATTAAATATGTAACTATTTTTCTTTTTAAGAAAAGAAATTACTACAATGGAAAGTGTGTAAAATTGTTTGGAAAGAGTTTGATTTGTGACGATCAAATTTCAGAAGGGCAGTCAGTCAGCCGCCGCCTCCGTCGTCGCTCCGCCGCACCATTGAAGCCAGCTCGCTGATGGATCCCAATTTGAACTCAAAGGTACCATAATGTATATATTTTAGGGTCCATTTGGATGGAGGGATTTGGGGAGGGATTTGATTTGGGGAATGGATTTGAAATGACTCCAATTTTGGAGTCATTTGAAATCCATCACTATTGCTCCAAAATCAACTAAAAAGAAGGGGTGGGGATTTGAAATCCATCTCCAAATCCCTCAATCCAAACAAGTTCGAGGGATTTGTTATTATGGATTTGAAATCCCTCCCCCAAATCCCTCCATCCAAATGCACCCTTATGTTTTTCTTAGCTATGTTCATGTTCAATTAAGAAGAACCAGCAGATAAGGAGGAAAACAATTGTATATATTAAAACTGTTTATTTTATTTTATTTATGAAATGTATATTAATTAAAGGAAACAATTGATCTGAACAGGTAATTATAAACTCGGAAACTATAAGCTTCTCAGAAGTGTACCGTCACTGGATCGGACGACGATTAATTCAATTCCGGTGGTGACGTCATCTACGCAATCATGAGGAGGAACATCGATTACGTGACGTCAGCGTTCGACGCTCGCCGGATGAGGAACGATTTCGTCTCCGCATTCCGCACGGTCGACGGCATGAGCTACTCCGACATCGCGATGCGTGCTGGATTTCGCGACGGAGCCGACGGATTCCTACGTTGGCGTGGTTGCCATGAACAGCATAATTGACCGCCGATCTACGGCTAGGGTTTACGAAATCGGCCGGCCGGAGCAGGTCGGCAGCGGATCTGCGGCGGCGTTGAGTAGCGAGGAGAGAGAAGTTGCGTCCTAGCTTCTGGAGATGCATCTGAATCGGAACGACGGCGATAGAGAGCGGTGGAGTGACGGCGGCGAAGAGGAAGATGAGGATACTGATTGGGAGTTTATGGGGGATGAAGATGTTACCGAGGAGGAGGAAGTTGAGAGTGATAATGATGAATCAGAAAGCAGCTCTGGAGACAGAATCCTCCCACATCTCGACGGCCCCACAAGGTACTCCGGGTTACCTTGACCCGCAGTACCACCAGCATTTTCATCTTTCCGACAAGAGCGACGTTGTATAGCTTCGGCGTTGTGCTTGTGGAGATCATAACAGCATTGAGGGTGGTTGACTTTGACCGGCCTCAGAACGAGGTCAACTTGGCCTCCCTCGCGGTCGACCGGATCGGGAGGGGGTGTTCCTCGAACGGGCAGGTCTTGATTCATGGACCCGTTCGTCGATCCACAAGGTTGCTGAGCTGGCGTTTAGATGCCTTGCGTTTCATAGGGATATGAGGCCTTCGATGATGGAAGTTGCGGTTGAGTTGGAACTGATTAGGCAGAGTAAGTGGACTAACGCAGAGATGATGATGATGATGAGCATTATGGGGTCGTCACGTTCGATGTCGTCCGATTTGAGCGACAGACCGCTGAATCAGACGTTTAATAAACGGGAATTCGACGGTGTAGGGACTTTTAGCAGCAAGAATTCGTCGGATGCGTTGACGGATTTTTCGCCACTTTCGGTGGAGGATTCGTGGCAGAGTGATCAGAGCTCGTCGCCCTCGTCGAATAGTTTGCTGAATCGTGTGGCTAGGTGAGATTGACACTATATATGATTTATTTGAGCCATTTAAAATGTGTTTATTAACTGGTAAGTAGACTTACATTATATTCTCTGCAGTGTAATTAGTTGGCCAACATGTTGAAAATGTGTGTTTTATGTGTTTCTTTTATTAAAACTGGTTCGTGCCGTTGAATTTGGACATGAAAACAATTGTATATATTAAATAATTTTATAAATGCTACATTTGATAAAGTATAAATTAGGTGGTTTTTGCAATTTTAATTTAAGAAAAAATCACACATATGTATCTAGATATGTGTAATATATATATATATGTTTGTTATCATTATCCAATATCCATCAAGTATCTAAAGTTTTTACAGATCAATGGTGTTTGCAAAAAAAAAAAAAAAATTATAAAAGAATAAACATATTTTTCTTTTTCTTATAACTTATTTTTGTTCACAAAATGTAAGTGTCGCTCTTTATACTTCGTTCGTTTCAAAACAAGTGCCGTTTAAAGTTAATGCACACCAATTAACAATTAAGAAGTTATTATAAAATATTCTTGATAGCAGGAAAAGTAATTCTTATTCGACAAAATTACCCCATTTTTGGCTTAAAGTCTCTCTTTATTACTTAATTAATCTGTTGACACTAAGATGAAGTTGAACGAAGAGAATTGTCATATCTTGACATTCTAAAGTGATACTTAATATGGAACAAACAGTATGCCTAAAACGACTCTGGAAAAAAAAACAGATGGAGTATAAAGTAAACTGATTACTCGAAATCAAATTTGTAGGATCTTTTCAGTTAACTCAAACTTAAACTTGCAAATTGCAATCGAGTTTGTAGAATATTTTCAAATAATTCCAGTGTGGAGTTATCACATGAGTTTCTATTTTGATATTCTAATTTTTGGGATGTAATACATCTTGGAGAAATAATAGTATATCAAAAATATTTTGAAGTAATTGTTTGAGGTGCGGCAGTGGTGGTGCAACGGTGGAGGGCTGGATGGAAGAAAAGGAAGATGATGCCATGAGTTGACGACCCTGTGCGTGATTTTTTTTGTTCCTTTTTCTTTCTTTTTTTATTATTTTATTTTATGCATTTTATTTATTTAAAATTAAAATATTATTAAAAATTATCAGGGTTAGTTTAGTAATTTCATATAACTTAGCAGCCAATTTCAGAAAAAGGGGCAATGTTCTTTATCAAACAAAACATAGGGGGTATTTGCTAATTTTTATAACATGAGGACTTTTTTGGCTATTGAAGATTACACAGGGGGTTATGTGCAATTAGCTCAATATTCTTGCAAACACAACATACATAAGATATCACAAAAAAAGGGTGAATTGCGTTTTGCACCCCATCATTAACAGTATTCGGCGTTTTCCACACTAACATCTTAAAATTGGCAAGCCCACCTTAAAATATACATCTCATGGCAAAATGCACCATACCTTAATTTCTAGTGATATTTTAGCCAAAACGAATCAATATATCACGATATTTTACAGTTCTGAAGGAATTTTCATTATTCTTTACGTTTTGTTTTCTTACCTAATATAATTTAATCATTTTACTTGTATATATATTTAAAACATAATTGATGATTTATTTTATATGTTTTGCATTAAAAAAAACATTATTTATAATTTCTAATTTTGAGTCAATTTAAATTTTCAAAATAATTCAAAATTTCTAATTATTAATATCTACTAAAAAAATAAAAATAGAATAAGAATTGTTACCTTTCGGAAATAAATTATTTTTAAATGTCTAGTTGATAGAAATAAATGTATTACTTAGAATAAGGCTTTAAATTGTTACATTTCAGAAGTTAAAATATGGTGTTATATTACTTTTTGGGCTTAAAATCTCATAAGAAATTGATGTAGGGTGCATTGTGCCATAAGGATTATAAATTAAGGGTGGGCATTGCCAGTTTTGAAATGTGAAGGGGCAAAGCGCCAATTTGGGTTAATCATGGGTGCAAATAGGGGTGAAAGTCAGATGGATCGGATCGGAATTAGTATTTTCGGAAAATTTCCAAAAAAAATTGGAAGTACAAAATCAATTCCAATTCCAATTCCAGAATTTTCGGAATCTAAAAATTCATTACAATTCCAAAAGGCCGGAAATTTCGGAATTTCGAAAAAAATCGGAAATCACATAAGCTTTAAAATTTCAAACTTAGCCGAAATTTTCTAAAATGTTCATAATTTTTCAAAAATAAAAACATCCACGTCGATAAAAGTAAAACTAATTACTACAAAATTTTAGTTAAAAAATAAAATAAAAATAAACACAACATAATATCCAATAAAACTTGTAACAACAATTCATTATGTCAAAATCCTAAGAGAAAACTTATAGGTGCATTTTTCGGAAAATAAATATTATATAATATATATTATTTATAGGTGTATCTTTTGGAAAAATATCGGAATTTTTCAGAATTAATTTCGGAATTAAATCGGATCGGAAATCAAAAAATCCAAATTTATTTTATATAATTCCAATTACAATCCAAAAAAATCGGAAACATTCGGAAATCGGAATTTCGGAAGTCGGAATAAAAAAAGTTGTTCCAAAATCGGAACTTTTCGGATCGAAACCGGCGGAAATTAGAAATTCCGTTCCAACTTGCACCTCTAGGTGCAAAAGACAATTCACCCCAAAAAAAAAATCCATTGTTCCTAGTACTATTAAATTTGTATGCATGTTAAATGTCTATTAAAAATTAGTTATTATCATATATTAAACTAATAATTATTTTTACCTTTGAAATGTTGCTAATATAATTAAATATGTAACTATTTTTCCTTTTAAGAAAAGAAATTACTACAATGGAAGTGTGTAAAATTGTTTGGTACTCATGCCGAATAGCTTGGCAAAATTGTTTGGAAAGAGTTTGATTTGTGACGATCAAATTTCAGAAGGGCAGTCAGTCAGTCAGCCGCCGCCTCCGTCGTCGGTCCGCCGCACCGTTGAAGCCAGCTCGCTGATGGATCCCAATTCGAACAGCGTTCTCACCGAAGATGCAGCAGACTCAAAGGTACCATAATGTATATATTTTAGGGTTTTCCCAATTTTACAGACGCATAAAAATTAGGTCTTTCGATCCCACTAAAAAAGATGTAATTGAGCTTTCTGGCTACAATCCGATGAAGAAGTTCCTTCTTATGCACATTAAAAGAGCAGTTATACTTTTGTTGAAAATAAATTTTGCTGGAACTTCAATTTATATGTACCATTTTGCTGCAATGATATCCAGATCCCCCTTGGTTGTTTAATATTGTCCTTAGAAGAAACAGAGGAATTTGGGTATAGATACATTATTTGAATAAGAAAATGGTTGATAGTAAAGTATTTTAAATAGTTTCGTCTTAAATTTAAAACGGCTCTATTACAGAGGGGGCATGTATTTCATATGCAGATGGTTGGGGGTGAATGCAATCACGCGTGTGTGAGTCGTCGTATTCGCCATTATTATTCAAGGAGACGTAAAACGAATATGGAGTCTCTTCCAGACGAATTGGTGTTCCAGATTCTTCTTGATATCGCAGCTCAAGATATTTACAAAGGGGCAAGATTTGTTTGCAAGAAGTGGTACGACATTATCCATAGCCGTAACTTCATATACAGACACCTTCACTGTGCAACTCCCGGACTTCTCTTCCAGAGCTATAAACCGCTAAGGCGTCTAGTTTTCGTGGCAATGCACAACGGCCGGATAAAAATATCCAAGTTCAGCTACAAGTTCAGAAGAAGAGCTCTGAGTAGCTGTAACGGTCTAATAGTAGAGTCTGATTTGGATGACATTTACGCTCTCTATATTGTAAATCCCGCAACAAAGCAACGCCTTGCTCTCCCTCCGGTTTCTCTTCCAACGATAACCCATAAATATTATGCTATAGCATATGCTGCAGCTTCAATGCATTATAAAGTGGTTCTCGTACACCCTTGCAGGTATAAGACTTCAACCATATGGAGTTGCGCTATCTTAACTGTCGGGGTTGACGAATCTTGGAGGCTTGTTAATATCGATTACTTATCCGTTAAATCTACTATAGCTTTCACTTGTGCTCCATTGACTACTGAAGGTTTTATTCATTGGGTCAACAGTAAATGCACTCATGTCGTGACTTTTAATGTCGAAACTGAAACTATTAAAGAGACTCCCGTACCTGATGGTTATGGAGACGGAGTGAAGCATTATTTGTCAACTGGGAGCTCTCTAACTTTGTTCATTCCATGCGGTGAATATTCGTGGGAGGTTTTGAAGATGAAACCGGAAACTGGAGAGTGGACTAAGTTGTTCGAGATTGACTTGGAATCTCAAAAGGGCAAATTTGAACATTTGGTCAGTGAATGCCGTCCTCGCCCCGGAAATAGTTCTTTCATCCTCGAACTAGTTGGTTGGTTAAATTATGAAGAGGTGTTGGTCTTGCGTGGATCGTCGGTTCGCGTTTACATTCTCTACAATGTCGGTGTGCAAGAAATTGACTTCTTTGAGTTGGATTATAGTTTTTGTTATAGCAGCTTTAATGTTCATAGAAACAGTTTGGTATATGGTTAGATGGATCCTAGCAATAAATTAGATACTAGTAAATCCTGCTTACAGCCTTGATTATCACAGATCAAGAGCAGCCTCCTAATTATATGTCTATATATAGACTACTATCAAATAAAACCTAAATGCTCGTCAACAGAACTCGTCTCCATCTAAACCCGTTTCCGATTTCACCGGAGAAGACGCCACCTCATCCGTCGATGCTCCTCTTGCATCGATCAGCATTGCAATAACTTCTCGCATTGTTGGCCTCTTTTGAGGGGACGTGCTTGTACAAAACAAGGCAATCTTAAGAACCAAAGACATCTCCTCGACTGTCCTTTTCGCACTTAGATCAATACGGTGATCGAATATACGGTACGCTGTATCTAACTTCTGAACCGATCTCCTCACCCACGTCACCAAGTCACCGCCCTGCTCTAGCGGCTGTACCGGCGACTTCCCCGTTATCAGCTCCAATAGAACCACCCCGAAACTATATATATCGCACTTGTCCGTCACCTTCATCGTGTAAGCATATTCTGGAAAAAAAGAAAAAGAAAAAACATTTTTTTAGATTCTTGATTTTTTCTTTTTACGAGATAAATTAAGTTTTTTTTCTTACCAGGGGCGATATATCCGTAAGAGCCAGCGACAGCAGACATTGATTTCGACAAGGAAAAGTCTATCAGCTTGGCCAAACCGAAGTCTCCAACATGAGCCTCGAAATATTCATCGAGCAAGATATTGTTCGATTTTATGTCCCGGTGAATAATTTGTGGCTTGCAATCGTAGTGTAGATAGCACAACCCTTCTGCAGCTCCGAGAGCAATTTTGTACCGTGCATCCCACTCAAGCACACATACCGTTTCATTTCCATGCAGTACTTCGCCGAGGCTTCCATTCACCATGTACTCGTATAGAATAATATTGCCGTCTTGGTTATAGCAAAATCCGTACAATTTCACGATATTCTTGTGCCTTATATTCCCTAAAGTCGATATCTCCGCACGAAAACTGTTGTCTCCACTGGAATTCAACAACTTTTTAACGGCGATGACATCACCATTGGCCATTACAGCCTTGTAGACGACCCCACACGCCCCTCTTCCCACAACCGCCATTTCCGAGAAGTTTCCGGTAGCTTCCACTAGGTCTTGGTAGTTGAAACCTTCCTTCGGAAAGTAATAGCTCTCCAAATCGTCGTTCTTTAGTTCTTCCTCGAGCGAAGCAAAAGAAGGTCTTTGCCGCCTCGTCATCATCCAGCAAACCGCCACAATAAAAGTCAAAGAGATCACTCCAATACAGAGGGAAACACTTCCGACTATCTTCTCCCTTCTAGAACCTTCCTTTAACCAGCTCGGATTGGAAGCGACAGATGAGCTCGTAAATAAATGGCAATTATCATTCGAATTCAACGAACACAGCCCGTTATTCCCGCCAAAATTACTAGCATCCATCTTCCGGAAGGTTGGTGTGTTCGGCACGGGCCCCACTAGATTATTACTGGAAAGATTGCACTCCATTAGGCTGCTCAATCCACCAATGGAATTAGGAATCTCGCCACTGAGCTGATTATTATTCAAATACAGCGATTCGAGCATCTGAAGATTCCCCAAACTGCTTGGAATCGAGCCAGTGAGATTATTATGACTGATATTTAGAGCAATCTGAAGGGAAGTAAGTTGGCCGAGCTCGAAAGGAATATTCCCCGAAAAGAAGTTTCCTCCCATTTGCAAATCAGTCAGCCTAACAAGACCACCTAAAGTCCCAGGTATTTGTCCGGTGAACCTATTATCCGATATTCTCAGCAACTCCAATTTCACTAACGACCCGAGATTATCCGGAACGGGGCCCGCGAACCAATTGCTGCTAAGATCGAGCCTCTCGAGCTTTACACAGTTCCCCAACTCTTGAGGTATATTACCGAAAAGCCGGTTTGAAGATACGTTGAATGCAGCAAGCTTGACAAGCTTGCCAATCTCGGAAGGAATGTGGCCGATGAAATGGTTGTGCGACAAAAGTAGCCGCTCGATATTTGTAAAATTACCGATTTCTTGAGGTATAAGTCCCGTGAATCGATTTTGAAAGAGATCAAGGGCTGAAAGGCTTTGAAGTTTCGTGTATTCCACAGAAAGGGTTCCGGTGAATAAGTTGTCTCCCAACAGCAGCTGCTCGAGTGATTTGCAAGTTTTGAGGCCGTGTGGAATATTTCCGGACAATTTGTTCGATCCTAGGCTGAGGAAAGTCAATGTCCGAAACCTGCATATATGTGGAGGGATGGTGCCCACAAGATTGTTCTTGGAAATATCGAGTACCGAAAGGTTGCTTCGATATCCAAGAAGCGGAGGAATGTGGCCGTTGAGATGATTGTTGTAAAGCTGAATGTCTTTAAGAAACGGGAGATTTTGGAGCCCCGGAGGAATCGAACCCGTTAGGTTATTTGTCGAAAAATCGATATGCCTCAATTGCTTCAACAACGCAAGCCCGTGAGGAATGTTCCCTTGTAAATGGTTTTCGAAGAGATAAAGCAATTGGAGAGTGGAAATTCGACCTAAATCGTTTGGGATGAACCCTGTCAAACGATTTTCCGAAAGATCGATCCCGATTGCATTTGAGCAATTCGATAGCTCGAACGGAATGGACCCATTGAGTTGATTTGTGTAAAGGTACAGTCTTTTCAGACGAGTTAATTTTCCGATTTCTTTAGGGATTTCTCCGGTGAGTTTGTTCCCATTCAAGGCAAGTAACTCCAAGCTAGTGAAGTTGCCTATTTGAGGAGGGATTTCGCCATCAAACATATTATTCCAAAGAATCAATGTTGTGAGGCTTTTGAGCTTTTGCAGCTCGGAAGGAAAAGATCCCTCGAGCCGATTTTCCGCCAACCCTAACATCACCAAGCTCTCGCATTCGCTAATCTCGATCGGAAGTGGGCCCCACAGGTTGTTTCTTCCCGCCCTTATAACCCTGAGGCTCTTCAATTTCCCGATAGACGAAGGTATCTGACTAGTTAGATTGTTGCTGTATATCACGAGCTCTTCTAGTGAGATCAAATTACCGATTTCTTTCGGAATTTCTCCGAATAGGTAATTCTCACACAGATAAAGCTTTTTGAGGGATGTGATATTGCAGAGCTGTTTTGGGAATTGGGAGTGGATTCTGTTTGTGCAGAGGTCTAAAATTTCGAGTTTTTCGAAGCAGCCGAAATCGAAAGGAATGGGATCGGAAATGAAGTTTTGGGAGATGTTTATGTTTGTCAAGTGAGGGAGTTTACAGATGGCTGAAAATAAAGTACCAGATAAATTGAGACCACTGATGTGTAGGGAAATAACCTTAAAATTAGGGTTGCATTTTATTCCAGTCCAATTGCAAGGGCTAGAATCTAAAGGGTTCCAGTTTTCGAGATTTAGATTAGGGTCAGTGAGGGATTTTTTGAACTCAAGAAGAACGGTTCCTTCTTCTTTTAGTGATTGAACAAAGACAATTATGAAACTAAACAGCACTAGCTTTATACGCAAGTTCGTTTGGCCTCCCATTACTGATTAGACAAAAGGGGAAATCAAGAATCTAGAGAGAGAAAGTGCCTAATGGAGTTGTAATATACAACCGAAGCAATATAAAGAAAGAGGTAAAGTGCGTGAACTATCTGTTGAGATTACTTACAGATAGATAGATACATGTGGGGGGAGTTAATCAACAAAGAACCGCGCCCTGCATTGCTTCGAGACTATCCGATTATCATGGCAAAGCAGAAAATCAAGAAACTGAGAACAGAGGAAATGGGGTTTAAGCAAATTCAAGAATATGCGGAAATCAAGTAAGCATATAAGTAAAGAGTAATAGAAAGTGCTGCAAAAAGGGTTATCTCTCTCTCACTCTCACTGTCGATATTCGGAAATGGAAGAAGAGAGAGAGAGAGAGGGTGAGAGAGTGACAAGGCAAGAAGCGAAGAGATGAACCATGAAGGTCACAATCGGAAGAAGGATAGAAGAATTAAAGGGTCAACCGATCGATGGCCATAACTTTAAAGAGAAAAGTAGTGATGGGAGTGAAATGTGCTGCATGTGACTCCTTGTGCTAGTAGTGCTCAATTCTGAACCTCCACAAACCACCACCTTTCTCTCTCATCTCTCTCTCTCTCCATCTATCTCCTCCTTTTTCCTGTTCTCTGTATCATCATTTCGTTGCCTCTATTATTAGCTCAAAAATATCTGTTGCTTTATACTATGTAATATGTACGTGTGTGTATACATACACACACACACATATGTATGTATAAGTGTGTTCACAAGTGGTGTAGGCAAAGATGGAGATGGGACGTGGGAATACTAGGATTACAATCTTTGACAAAGTTTTCTGGGCCTGAAAAAATAATATTATGGAATGAATTTATTTTATTTTTTTTTTATTTTTTTTAAATGGAATTGAATATTTGGTATAGTATTGTGATGATTTGGAAGAAGACTAAAAGAAGGTGGTGGTGTGGCTATTCAGTTGAGTTAGTGGGTGGTGTGATATATGACTGAGTTGGAGCTTATCTTTCATGCCATCTTCCCCACCTTTTAATTTTGACTTTTCTTCAATTGTTGGGTTTGGCAACCTTGGAAAATGCTATGCCATGCCATCACTACTACTTTATCTTTGATTTTTATGATAAAAGATTAGGGATTGGATTTTTTTTTTATTTTTTTTTTTTTTTTTTTATTCTGGGACGAACGAGCCAATATTCATATGTTCATTGGATAAACTCGCTCTCGCGTAGTAGTAGGCAAATTCACACGAGAGGTGTAATCTGCACTGGACAAGCTATCTACGACAAACTTGACCTAAAAGTGGTTTCAAGAGGAATTGAATTTGAGTCGATAATGATATCCTTATTTCACCATTGGGTCTAATTTAATTTTCTTATTTGTATCCGGAGAAGGGAGGTAAAAATGTAATAATGTTTTTGAGAAAAAAGATGTTTGCATGTGAAGATATATTTCTTTTTGAAAATGAAAGGGATGTTTCGGAAAAGCAATATAAACGTGTTTAGAAACTCATTTTGTCGAAAATGTGTTTAAGTTTAATCCGAAAATATACATATTCAATTGAATATACATGTTTAAATCATATAAAAATGTGCGGTGCATTTTTAAGTACTCGTTTTCTTAATAATTGTGACATCTGCTCATAACCTTTGCAAATTTATAAATAGTTCCTACAACTCACCATTTGAATTATTCCCGAAATTACTATTTTTAAGTATTTTAGGCTTTTTAGCTCCAAAATGATCTACAAGAATATTCTACTTCTGCCAAAGACAATCATTATTCTAGTATATGAAAAGAGCTAATAAAATAGTGGAAAGAGAGCATAACATTTTTAATTTAAGTTTACTTTTATGTTAATTGTTTTTTGAATCGTAATAAAAGTTATCAACTTTTTATATATATTAATAATTTCGAAGACAACTTTTACATTTTAAGAAGAAAAAAAAAGGAAAATATGAATCACCTCAGTTGTCGGCAGGAAAAGCACATCAGCATTCACTCAACCCAAATATTTTCTCACGAGAAATTATTACTTGATTAAGAAAAACTCACACGTTAATTAAATCGAATTTTCGATCCTTAAATATGATCGGAGATATATCCAAAAAGTCCAATATTGCAACCCCGCAATCCTCTAAGAGCATCTCCAACCGTGTAGGTTTTGGAGAGGTAAAAACTAAATTATAAATATTTTACCATCTCAAACCTACAAAACTTGTTCTAATGGACAGAGCTATAATTTATCCGGCTGCTGAATTCAATGACCCAGCTGGTATATATACCAGTTAACTATTCACATATGGTATCCAATAGGGGTGAGATCGGCTCGGATCGGGTCGGTTTTAGCCTCAAACCGATCCTGGAACCGAAATGGTCGGTTCACAAAGAACCAAAAACCAAACCGGTCGGTTCATGTCGGTTCGGTTCTAGTCGGTTTTTCGGTTTTTTTTTTCGGTTTCGGTTCCTAAATTTTCGGTTCGGTTTGTTAACGGTTCCGATTTTCGGGTCGGTTTTCAGCCTTTTTTTTTTCTCTAAAATAAATCTAAATAAGCCAAAATATGCTAAAAATAATTCAGCCCATTTTGAACCAACAAAGCCCAAAAGTGTAAAAAAAAAAAGCCCAAAACTCCAGACAAAATCAGCCCATACACAAAAAAATCACATCAGAAAATTAAAAAAAATTAAAAAAAGAAACAACAATCAAGTAAAATCAGGAATATATATTAGGCCCTATCAAAACGACGTCGTTTCGGGTCGGTTCGGTACATCGGCTCAGTTAACCACTTGGAAAACCGAATGTGAACCGAGAATTTCGGTTCGGCGGAAATAAAAAACCGTATATGCGGTTCTTGCTTCGGGACGGCATATTTCGGGTCGGTTTTTCGGTTTTCGGTTCGGTTTTTCGGTTTTCGGTTCGGTTTTTCGGTTCTCGGATTTTTTTTCTCACCCCTAGTATCCAATATATTATTAAAATAACGCCCCACCCCCACATTTTTACTATTCACGTGTAGTCAGCCTTTTTTCCAAAGCCAAAGTTTACATTTTTTAAGTTTATTTAATTCAGTGTTTTTTTTTTATCTAATACTTTACCTGATAATAATAATAATAATAATAATAATAATAATAATAATAATAATAATAATAATAATAATTATTATTATTATTATTATTATTATTATTATTATTTGTAAATTTTAATATATAGATTTATCGAAAGAATACCTATTATTTTGCATATTATATATAAGATATCAAATATATTAATTGAAAATACTATTATAATCAAATAGTAAAAAGTAATAAAATATAATAAAATGCTAAAATATAGATGATATGGTTGGAGCAAGATAGTAAAAACTGAGCTGCTATAGCACTGTTCATCAGCTATTATAGATATAGCTTTCCAATTTTTAGCCTCTAACCTTGGAGATGCCTTAAAATAATAAATCCGTATATCATAGTTCCATGCACTGGGATGGCCTAGCGATTGAAGCAAGACAGCTTGTGTCAGTCAGTTGACTCAAGTTCAAATCTCATTATCAACAGTCAATTCAATAATTGTAATTGAATTAATCCCTTCATCAAACTTATAAAGTTTAATTCAACTTTACCTAAGAGCTTATGTTAACAAACACTAAACTTTACCTAAGAGCTTCTAAGATCTCTTAAATAAGCTTAACGAAAGCGAGCCCATCACTAGTTTCTTGGTTTAATTTGTTGTTCGAATTCCGATTTCACAACGGGAAACCCATTTTCGTGTCTCTTACCACACTTCAACACATCAATAAGAAAATCGGATTGATACAGTCACTAAATTAAAGTAAGAATCAACAATCAATATACTTTTTTATTACTATTATTGCAACATAGTCCACAACATTGAAAAGATACGGTCGAAACGGGATTAAACAACCAACGACAAATTATAAACCAACAAACCTTGCTAAATCCGACTACTCGATGCCGTACTTTTTCTTGAGCATCAACACGAATTCATAAACCTCCTTAGGATCAGCCAAAGATTTCGAGACACTCTCTCTTTCCATGCACTTCTTCGCCCACACAATCAATTTAGGGCAATGTTGTTCGATCTTGAAATCGCCACAAGTCTCCCAGGTATCGAACCAACAGTAGTAAGTAATTAAGGCGACATCGAGAAAACCGAAGCTGTCACCGCCAAAGTAAGGCTTGTCCCCTAATTCCCCTTCCAGCAACACAAGTGCGTCGATGACTTCTTTCTTGGCCGCTTCTTGCTCTTCTCCTTTCTTTGTCCATATTCTTCTTCCAGCATCAAATATCTATCTTGTCCATTTTTCAAAACATTAATCACATATGTTTTTTAGGGTTTATTGCATTCAGCACCACAGTGTTTTCTCTAATTGCTAATTTTAATAACAAAAACCCCCCTTATGATTCATTTTTTTTAGCAATCTACCCTCGGAAATTCAATATGTAGGGGGGGGGGGGTGTGTGCTGAAAAAATGCAACATTATAAGGGGGAGTTTTGCTAATATTAATAATACGTGCATTTTTATAGCAATTCGATATTACACAGGGTCCTGAATGCAATAAACTCAAATATTTTTTTAGCAATTTGATATTACACAGGGTCCTGAATGCAATAAATTCAAATATTTTTTTAGCAATACGATCTTACACAGGGTCCTTAACGCAATAAACTCAAACATTTGATGATAAATAATACTCCCTCTGTCCTCCATAACAACAGTCCTGTTTTTTTTTTTTTCCAAATTATCTGTCATTTTAAATTCACATTTTTTTTTAACCTTATTAAAATAACTCAAAGTATTAACTCTCTTTCGTCACATCATTAAATATCAAGGTTATTTTAGTCATTCTAATGCGTTTTCCATAAAATCAAGACACAATTACCGAGATTCTCAATACAGGTGCAAAGCCAAAAACGACAGTTAATTATGAACGGCGGGAGTACACCTTCACAAAGAGCATTACTAACTAGTTCCTCAACATCCAAATAAAATTTGTGCATATTTTACACACATCCACATGTGTGTGTGTGTGTGTGATTGTGGGTTTTATTTGATACCCCAACCCTAACTACTATGGTGTTTTTAGTTCACATTAAACTCAAAAAATCCTCTTTAAACCATCTAATAAATAAACCACGCAACATTTCCTAAAATTAATGCTTCCAAAAGAACTCTAAACAAAAACTGAACAATAAAAGATTAAAAAAAAAAAAGGGGTACCTTTTTATCAATGAAATCAGCCCAAAACCTAGCTTGAGCTCTCTGGTAAGGGTCGGAAGACAACAAGGGGGGGTTGTTATTATTACAATTATTATCGTTCCTCCAGACATCGTCTATGTACTGAACAATAATAAGGGACTCGCAAATGGGTTTGCCGTTGTGAATCAAGACCGGAATTTTAGTGTGAACCGGGTTCATCTGGCGCAAAAGAGGGCTTTTAGCAGCCAAATTCTCCTCCCTGTACTCGTACTGAACCCCCTTTTCAGCTAAAGCGACTCTAGCCCTCATCCCGAACATGCTTACATGAACATCCAACAGAATAATCACCTCTTCCGCCATTTCTAATTTCTCTCTGACTGTTTGTGAGGAGAGAGAGAGAAACAGTGTGTGTGTGTGTGTGTGTGTGTTTTAACAGTGTGTACGAGAAAGGCACTTGTGTTTTTTTCGTCTTTAAAGAGGGAGAGAGGTGGTGATACATGGATAGGGGGACCAAAGGTGGGTTTTCCCTAATTTAATACTCCCTCCTAATTAAAGAAAAAAAAAATATATGAATATTCTAATTGAATGTCGTTTTTATTTTATTTTTTTGCACAAGTTATTAAGAATATTAACAAATGTGTTTTGAATTTATGAAAAATATATTAGATGTGTGATAAAAAGAGAGTTAATAGTTAAAAAATGCATTTAAAAAGAGACAGTCATGTGGATTATATTACATGATGCAAGGATACCACAATATTTGTCACTTTCAAGAAGATTTTTTTTATTTACGAGAAAAAAAATATTCTATATTATTTGTTACTTTAAATTTTCAATTATTTATTAGTTACTTAATTTCCACTTTATACTCTTATTAACTATTTTTAATATTTTTTTAACTCATTTCTCTCTCTTAGTAATTAGAAGATGAAATCATTTTAGTCTGGAAGCATACATTTTCATAAAAATCAAGACACATTTAATAAAATTCTTAATCCTTGTGCAAAACTAAAAAGGAGACTGTCAAAAGAGAACATATGTAGGTACATAAGAAGATTTGCTCGGGGAATCAACGTTGTTAGTTGTTTCAACCGGACGGTAAGGTCAGTCCGATCGGTTGAATTGTTTCCGGTAATTGATCGTAATCAACATGTTACCACGGACGACATAAAGGAATAACTTCAACCCAACAAAGCAAGTGTTACACGCATTGCTTAGATATATATAAGTCGAGGAAGATAAAGGCGCCGAAATGTAGAACACTTAGCAATTACCAGCTAGCTAAGACATTTACATAAATAGAACACTTTCCAATAACTAATATAGTTAGTTATCTCATTCTGTAATATTAGACATGTTTACAGTTAACAGTATATATATATCTCCAAAAACTACCTCTTCTTTTAAGACCACATCATAAACAAGAAAACTGTAACGGGTCGATAAAAATGAGGATTTTGCTACCTTGCAAAAAAGAATATTGTACATATCGAATAGCTTTTTCAAAATAATCTCTCAACACCAAACGTGCCGCCTCAAAGTAGAAGTTGCCCAACTCAACTTTTGCATCCGCCGACTATTTACAATCCCTTTGGAATCATATCATACTAAAAACCAAAACTAGTAGCAGTTCCTAATACTGCACTCCTGTAACAAACCAAATCATAGTAAATCAACATTTATTCAATAAGATTCGTTCATTCAATACAAAACTATGTTTATACTTCTGTTGACAATTTTACCGAGTTTCATTCCCTTGGAAAGCATGCTTCGTAATTTCAAATGTACAAGTGAGAAACTATACCGTGATATGACTTGGTCAAGTTCCAGATGACTGCTCGTCTTGGTTAAAAAGTCTGAGCTGTTCAACTAATCTTGCTTTAAGTGATTCGGGAACTTTAGAAAGAAAACTTTTCTTCGCCTGTGAAATCATCAAACTCCTGCACAACCACCATGCATATAAATAGATGAGATGATTTTCCCAATTTTCACAACTTATGCTCTTTTGATTAAAGCTATCGAAATAACTTGAAAAGGAAAAGCACCAATCTTACAACAGATAAGTCATCACTAATGCAATAAACTGGGTTATTACTAAAAATATAAGCAAAACCTTGTTTTCTTTCTTTCTTCAGATTTGCTACCCACCCATCGCCTCAGAAATAGAATGAAATTTATTTTAAACAAATATACAAATTTCAACACCAACAACTAGGCAGAGAAAAATAACATTCTCTGCTTCTATTCCCTCGTCAACTGTGATGAAAAGAGACATCATGGTTTCTTGATGGATAAACTTTTAAGGCAGATCAAGGGTAACTAAGGCATGAAGAACACTTGACAACTAACAAGTCAAACTCTAAGACTACTTCCAAAATTAAGGAGCTAAGAATACTATTAAAAGAAAACTGTGCAAGAGTAGACATCCCCTAAAGCTTGTATTTTCCATCATGTAAATTACTAGACAAACAAAAGCAACTTTTTAACCTCAATCAAACTACCAAGTGTCAAACAAATTTGAAGAGAAATTTTTCTTAATCAACGTAAGTACTTATACTGGATAGCTTTACTACCAAGGCTCTTTGAATATCAGTATTTTTTCCCCCACAAATAGAAATGCCACGTAATTTAAGTAGTATCTGATCTCTCTTAAAATAAATCATATTGAATAAAAAAACACCAGTGAATACCCAACATTCCAAATATCCAATTTCTGGTGAACGGCTTAAACTGCTTTACCAGATGACTCAAGCGGATAACAACTTATCACTTGTATCCTGAGTCTTCCTAATCTGTCCAGTCTGAGAATTTGATGTGTATTTGTAGGAATTTCTACAGATATGACCAGAACATAAAAAGTAGATACTATTTACTGTTCATCGAAATCAATAAGTGCGCACTTTTTAACTAAGAACCGTTTCAGGGATTGTTAAGAAGTCGAGTTGTTTTCAACAGCAAAGGGAAGGACAAACTTAGTTGCATTGTAGGACAAATGAAAAATGATGTATGATTGCTTCCAGATCGAGGGAGTTTTTTGCCGCTAAATGGAAAGATATCAGAATGCACGAAAGTCAAATGACCAAAATCAACATAATGCTTCATCAGAATTTCAAGTTAAAAAAAAACCTCTAGTCCAAATACCCAAAAAAGTGAACCTCAGATAAGTTCATAAATGCTGGTAAGGTTTCTGATTGAGAGAACTCAACTTATCGCGAATAGTAAAAAATTATTGATTTCAAAATGTCAATATTGTAAACAAGATCATGTTATGCTCAATTGCCTTCTATCTCAGTCACTTTTAAATTGCAACCCAAGACTGGTAAAATAAAAGCATTATTGAACCGGATATCAATTTCAAAGCGGAAAATTGGTGATACTGCTGACAAGTTAAGCAGAAAAGTTTCAAGAGAGCTTACTTCATCTCGTGGTCATTTGATGCAGTATCGGCTGCTTCTTCACACACCTTTTTCCTGGCATGCATGAAATTCTGCACTTCTGCAGACCACCCACATGATCGCAAAAACATGGAAGCTTCTTTCCCAATCCTGAGGCATGTAAAAATAAATTTAGTAAGTTTTCTCTTGAGATAATCAGTAACATTTATCAATTGCCGCAATAAGAAAATCTTCACTACATACAGACATACAGCCACCAAGTAATCAAATGACAATCTTTAGTTTGTCTCTGTTCAAAAGAGAACAGTCACGAATCTAAGACAAGAAAATTACTATGACGAATCTACTAGCCTTTTTTCAAGAAAAATGGTGTATGAGTTTATGTTATGGTTTATATTACATATCTAAAGCCATATGACTAGACATCAGGCTTAGCACATCAAGGACATCTTGACTACACATGCAAAGCCCCATCATAACCCAATTTCTTAGGATAAAGGATCAGATATTCCATTTGAATAAGAAATCAGCATTAAAACTGTGAAAGGGCATCAATCTCAACAACAAAAAAGTTATAAAATTTGAAATTTTAACCTCATCTATCTCCTATCTATTTGGCCACAATCTGGACATAAAATTCACAGAGGGATGGATGCATGCACAATGCGGGAGGCAATGCAACTTAAAACTATCCAACACAAGTAAAGAAGCATGTGCTTTCACTTTTTCAAGAATCTTATACTAACTAACCATGACAAATCAAAAAGGCACATAAGAATAAAAAGCTTTTTGAGTCAGGGTAACATGTAAATGCATTTTACTATTAGAACGATATAGAAAAGAGCAAAACAAAATAATCTTCATGCTTAAATTTAAATCTTCAGGCATGGTAACATACAATTGCTTGAACGCATCCACTTTTGCACGAGATTCGTCATCTTCCGCAAGCAAAATGCATGAACGATCGTCTTCTATCTTCCTCTTCATGCCTGAGTTATTAGAGCCCATAATGTCTCCGTTCTGAATGTACCGGCAGTTATGACTTTTGTCTGATGCATTCGTGCTTTTAAATCCATTTACTACAGGTGAACTTCTTTCAGTAGTGTCAGCTGCAGGATGCCCATTTTCTCTACTACTGATTCGAAAGGAAGTAAGCCCTCTCTTCAAAATCTGAACATCAGCTGACTTTTTTATCACGCCATTGCTCTTGATTATCGGCAAGCCAGTTTTATCTTTCTCTACTGAAGTAACTGAAGTTTCTTTACAGCCATTTCGCTCCTTGGACTCTTCATTGTTAACAGCATTCTTGATACTCCCAGGGGCAAGGATCCTATTGGTAGTCACAGAGTCACTAAATTTCCGGTCGTGACTAGAAAGCCCTTGATCAACCTTAGATTTTGCTGAAGTACTTGTCTGACTGTGGTGATTAGAAGACTCCTTCGTATCCACTGGTTCTATAAAAGCACCTGAATTATGTACATCAGTTGAATTACTGTAGTTGGATGCGAGCGAAGTGATTGAATTATATATTTCAGAAGGATTGTCAGAGAGCTCTTTCATACTAGCTGTTCCCCCATCAGACTTCTGGATTTGAAGTGTTTTAGTGCCATTGGACGTAGGGTTGCTTGTTGAATTATTTGTCTCGGAATGATTGTTAGACATGTTCATGTTAACTGAATTTTCTAGACAACCTGGCTTTTGGATAAATGATCTAGTGCCATTGGTTGAATCATTTAACTCTAGATGATGATTAGAAACTTGTACAGTACAGACTGGTTTGTCTAGACAATCAGACTTTTGCGTTATGGATGTCTTACTCCCATTTGACTCATGAGACTTGGATCCATTAGCCACCACATCAACCTTAATTCGAGGCCTCTGTTTTGTACGAGAGAAGAAAAGTATATAGACTTTCTCAGACAAAACCTCCTCAAAGGTTGAGACTGAAACATAAGAATCATTGCAGCAGTACCATCGATCCAATGCATCCTGTACAGATAACACCAGAATCAAAAATATTACAATGCCGGTTACAAACTAACATCAAGAGAATCAATTTGACATAATGAGAAAATCATAAAAAGACCTTGATATATGCATAGTAGTGTCCTGAATCAGGAGAGGAACCTGAATGCACAATAGCACCAAAAAGATTATACTCTGGATGCTCATCCTGCTAAAAAAGAAATTAAGGCATCAGTTACTCATAAAAAATAAATGTCATAATACAATGAAAACATTGAACAGCACAACAATAAAAGCACACAAAAGAAAAGTCCCTGATGGTATCTGGAGAAATGATTCAGTAAACCATATATTTTCCAGAAACATACCCCAGCCAAAAAGGCTCTGTTTCTCATCAGAGCATATAAGACCTAACAGAAAAGGGAATACTTCAAATGAAATGGGTTAAAACAGGGTAAAAGGAAGGAGTCCTTAGTTGTTAGCAGTAGAGACTTAATGCAGTCTGCAAAACTGGCTAGAAGGCAATAATTGTTTGCCTAACATATTTAGTTTTAATGAAATCCGATTTTAACTTCATATGCCAGTCTAGAGCTTCTTAAGAAGCTTATACTCAACTAAAGTGTTGAGGAAAATGTATGTGAAAGGCAAATGGTCAAATCAAGATGCTTGAGAGGAACGTACTGTTGATTGAGATTAAAAAAGTAGAAGGAAGAGGTTGTTTGGTTGATCATATGTGTGGTGGAACAACTACCACAGCTCAAATTGATTGAGAGCAAGGCGCATAAGACAGTTGGTAGCGGAGGCAGAAAAGCAATGCAAGACAAGGCTAAAGTTGGCTGTGCAATTCTCCTCTCTCTATGTAGCAGCCGAGGAGAGATTAAGGTGTTCGGTTAGACAGATATACTCAAGCAATCATGATACTTAAGGAGGATGATTGGATCAATATTACAGAAATCTCAACTATTTTTTCAACAAATTTGGAAACGAGCAAGCTCTAATTTAACATGGAACGTAAAAAGAGCGGGTTGTCTTTTACAAGTTCATGAATGCAAGGAGGTGCCCCAAAAATATTTTCCCTACTTTCGGATCTGAACAGAGAGCAAAACGACATCAGATACTTATATGACTTAAGTAGAGCAATTAGTGTTTGAGAATCAAAGGCGTGATCAGAGTTTCAACAAGTTAAGGTGGTAATTAACAAAAGAGGGTGTAGGATAGGTCAATTGCATATATACAAGTTCCTTGCACTACTTATCATCTAAGTGGAGATAAAATTGGAGAAGAAAAGCAAATAAATTCGTCTTACATAAAGAATTTTGTCTCTATGTACCTTGCTTCCTTTGGCCATGTGACTTGAAAGCACTAACATCTCATCAAACGCTATTGGCTTATCAATCTTCCCACCAAACAGACCCTCAAACCTCTATAAGGAAAAAGAAAGAAAAACAATGAAGCAATTAGTCAAATAGTAAGACGATCAAAAGAAACTGAAACAAAGGAACTGAGTTTCAGTAACTGCCACACCACACCTTTAGTTGGATTACGAGGACATTTGGCGCCTGAACTACTGACATTTGCTTCCTTGCTACCACCAATTCCTTACAACTAAACAAGCATAAGTTTCCCATTTCAACCAACATGCAAAAGAGCAACATACGTTGATAAAAATCATCTACATTCATATAACGTGAGGAAAGTGTGCAGGGATTTATTTTTATTTTTTTGGAAAAGTGTGCAAGGTTTAATTTATGCATGTAAGAAGATAAAGAGAGCTACAAATACTTACTTATCGCACTTGTATTTATTATTTCCATCCAAGACCTCAGGCTGAAAAAACTTCTGCAGAGCCTCTCTGAGTGATCCACTATGCAAAATATCAAGACTAATATCCATAATCTCATCAACCTTATTTGACTCGGCCCCACACGACAAACATTTTACTTGACTCTGCAACGCCCCTCCAAAAATCTCCTTCACCACTGTTTCCCCAGTCCCACCAATATCTCCTCCATTAGCAATCCCATTTTTCCCCCTTTGTTGCTGTTGCAACTTCTTTAATCTTATGCATGTATTATGGCATTCATCTATCACATAACGCAAAAATTCATGAGCATCCTCTTGCCTCCCAGTGCGAAAATGCTCAGCATATATGCTCAAACAGCTGTTTATTTTTATAGGCGCGTCAGAGACTGCTTCACTACTCAAAGAGCGATAAATTCGTTTTTCTAGCATACAAAAAGGACACTCCCCTTTCTTCTCCTTGCCAGGCCCAAAGTCACCTAGAAAACAATGATGCGGTTAATAAAGTTTCCAGACTCAAGTATCTGCAATCCACCCTTGCACTGAAGCATAACTAAAAAAGAAGCAGAAAACTTCCCATTAAGGTATATTTATAATCTATTTGTACAACCCATTCATAGGGCTGAGATCTAAGCTGTGAGTTAAACAAAGAACACCCAATATGGTGTTTTTAGCCAGTACACAGAATCTTTTGAAATACAGTTAACGGTAACAGTACAATGGAACTTCATAAAACTAACTAATTATTCATCCCACCCTTTATATCATGAGATTCATCGTGCTAAAACTTACTATTGAGAGTCATTACCATCAGAAGTAACAAACCGGGGGTTTTGGGTTTAACAAAATGTCGTGTAATCATTCACATCTATTAGCCATCAAATATTTTAATACGGAAGATATGCTATATTAAATTAATCTAAACATCAATTGACACTCACTCTCGAGTTTCATTCGTCTAGAAAGGATATTAAGGAATCACTAGATTGGTAAAGACACATACATAACCTCGAACCTAGTCTACAGTCACTTGAGTTTCATTCTGCTAGATCACTAGATTGGCAAAGACACAGACATTACTTCCAAACCTAAGCTTTTATCGTTTTTATTTACATTATGTGGCTTAAAAACCTTTGTTAGGACCATATCATATTCTCGACATCGATTTCTTTCGTACTGATTTTACCATATGCTGATTTTGTACAACACTCCGACATCGATTTTCTTTCGTGAATCATAACTGTGAACTACAATAAGCCCATAAGTAATGTTTTTAGCAACTACCCCTTCGTACTGATTTTACCATATGCTGATTTTGTACAACACTCCGACATCGATTTTCTTTCGTGAATCATAACTGTGAACTACAATAAGCCCATAAGTAATGTTTTTAGCAACTACCCCTTCGTACTGATTTTACCATATGCTGATTTTGTACAACACTCCGACATCGATTTTCTTTCGTGAATCATAACTGTGAACTACAATAAGCCCATAAGTAATGTTTTTAGCAACTACCCCTACATTAAAAGCATATATCATGAATAAGCATAAAAACCTTTTCCAGAAAGAAACATTTTAAACTCAAACCAAGTACTAAAGCCATTCCGTTCAATAATTAATTAATCGAATAAACAAACATGCTTTTCAAATCCCAATAATTCACGAGCGGTAACTACAGCAATTCTTAAGGTAAAATAAGCATGTAAATCAAAATGTGCAAAAAAACATGCCAATCAGTAGACGAATGAAATTGAGAGAGAGAGAGAGAGAGAGAGAGAGAGAGAGAGAGAGAGATGGAATTGAGAGTGTGGGAGGCGTACAAGCAGAAGAATGGAGGAAGCGGATGCAGAAATTGGCGAGGGGAGGGGTGTAAGTGAGGCACTGAAGGACGGAGTTGAGGTAGCAGGTGTTGCCGAGGTTTTTGAGCCCTAGAGGCGGCGAGCCGTGCTTCCGCTTGAGAGACTTGAGAAGGCTCGGCTGCCACGTCATCTGCAGCATGCCCATCAACAACGACGAGTCCTCCCGAACACCGCCGCACCATCGGCCGGCCACCACCGCCGCGATCGCATCACCTTCTCGATGCTTCTCTCCGCCGTGTTTCCCTTCCCCTATGATGATTTTTCCTCTCTTTCGGTTTTCCCAATTATTTCTCGATTTTTTATTATTGTTAATTCAGAGCGAAAGGGGGTTTTCTTCTGGGGTTAGCAGGTTTTTATTATTTTATTATTATTATTGTGGGCTTTGTGGTTGCGATTGATTTTATATATCTTTTTATGAGTAAACTGCAAAAACTACCCCTGTGTAATCTTGAAATAGCAAAAACCCCCCTGTGATAAATAAACTAGCAAAACCCCCCCTGTGAAATTATTTAAATAGCAAAAACCCCCCTATGGAACTATTTGAGGGTTGACTTGATATAAAAAGACACAAATACCCCTGGAGTCTTGCAAATAATAAATTCTTATATTTTATAAATATTTTAATTATTTTATTTAAAAAATAATCAATTTAGTTGTTTACTATTTTTTTTAATTTCTAAACAAATAAATTAAAAATAATAAATATACATATAATATGTATATATATAAATACATTTTGAGGGACAATTTTGTCATTTCAAGTCTAAAAAATCAGCTAGGGGGGATTCTGCCTTTGACTAAATTTCACAGGGGGGTTTTTGCTAGTTTATTTATCACAAGGGGGTTTTTGCTATTTCGAGATAACACAGGGGTAGTATTTGCAATTTACTCATCTTTTTATATGGTAATAAAATATTTAAAATAAATTCACCTCGGGGCTCGAAATATTTTGTAAAAGAGGGGCACGAGGGAAAATCCAAAAATTGTTAAAAAGGAAAAAAAGAAATAAGAAAAAGGAAAAAAAAATAAGAAAAGGAAAATAAAAATAAAAAATCCCACCAACCCGATAGAAGTTGAATCCGTATTTAGGTGGGCCAGGAATTTCGAGTATTGACCAAATAACTTGAGCAACTTATTGTTGACTAGTTGGGCCTAAAGTTGTAGTTGGCCCATCTTAATTAGTTTTTTATTTTGGGATAATATTTTATTTTGCACCCTTGTACTATGCGAAATGTATAATATACCCTCTTGATGTACAGAAAACATCAAACACCCCTCTGCCGTTAGTCTTTTTTCTTATTCCATTAGTCAAAACCTTTGGCCAACTGTTGCAAAGAAATATTGGTATTTTTTGGACGAAAATACCCTTATATATATATATATATATATATATATATATATATATATGAGTTTGCTAGTTGAGAGTTTTAGTCCACCATATTTCAAAATCAGAATTTTGGTCCTGTAAGTTACAAAAGTTGAGAATTTTGGTTCTATGACCTGCTATAACAGGTAATGTGATGGTTGGTTGAATAAGTTGGCATTTAAAATATATAAATAAATAGATTAAAAATAAATTAGGTGACGTGGCTAATGAGTTGGATGGTTTTGGAGAAAACTATTAATCCTCAATGTCAAATTCACCAAAATAATGAGGAAATTTTAATATATTTAATTTTTTTGGGTTATATTTGGAATAAAGAACCACAATAAACCCATTGAATAAAATCTACAACTATATTTTTATGAAGGAAATAAGACTAACTAATGTTTAATTAATATTTCTTAGTTTTTATTTGATAAAAATAATAATTAAATTAATATTTATCTAAATATTTCATTTTTTTACAAATCTATACTTAGTTATTACAATGAAATTGAACCAACAATCAAATTCAACATAAAACCGAAAAAAAAACTTTTATTAAACCTTGTTGTAAAGTTAAATGACATGCACAATCATAATTAGTATAAGAAATCAAATACATATCTACGACTTAACCAAAAAAATAATAAAAATAAAACTCTATTAAATTAAATGTACCAAAAAAGTATTCTAGAGACTCCAAACATAAAATACATTATCAAACCAAGAGTAACAAATATCCATAACGAGTAATAAAAAATAGTTAATTACTATTTTTATCAATCGAAAACTATGAAATATTTATTAAAAAATAGTTATTGCAAAAATGCTTATTTCATTCATCAAATAAAAATAATTTGATGGTATATTTTATTTCCCTCCAAAATTTTCCAACTCATTAGCAACATCACCTAATTTATTTTTAATCTATTTATTTTTATATTTTAAATGTCAACTCATTCAACCAACCATCACATTACCTGTTATAGCAGGTCATATGACCAAAATTCTTAATTTTTGTAACTTACAGGCCTAAAATTATGATTTTGAAACACGGTGGACTAAAACTTTCAACTAGCAAACTTACAGGACTAAAAACTCATTATATATATATATATATTGCTTAGTTTTGTCAATTTTTTACCAAATTTCCCACTATTTTCGGCCCATATTCTTTTATTTTTGTTATTATTTTCGGCCCCTATTCTACAATGCATACCATATTCTAGAGCTGGTTGATTTTTATTCACCAGTCAATCTATTACCGACCATATTTTTAGACGGATAATATTTTTTTAACCGTCCAATTGGATCGGGTCGATAAGTCCAACCAACCCATCTATAGTGGGTCGACTTCTAATATTTCAAAAGTTGGTTGACCGATAATTACCGATTAACCAACTATATTATTAAAATTTTATTAAAAATTATAAAACAAAGTGTGTGTTTTCTTAATTACGTTGAATCGCTTATTTTGAACTGATCGCACGGTGGCATTTTGCATAATGTGCATAGTTTTACTCCAAAATTTGAATTTTATTTAAGTGAACTAGATGGCGGGTATAATCTATCAACTAACTCATTCTGGAACCAAATATTCGGTTGTCAATCATCAACCGACCCACAAATATTGGGTCGACAAATTTGAGCAAAATTGGTTTGTCGAATAGATCTATTTTTAGGCTGGTAATAGATCGACCCAATCAAGTGTGAGTCCTACCATATTCTACAATGCATATTTACCTTAGAACAAGATACTTTAATAACATTGTAAATATTTGGTGCAATAATTTGCGAACAATATTTTTCCATTATTAATAACAAATGATGGTTCTCGTTATAAATAGAGGTAAAAATCAGACGGGTCAGATCGAAAATGACACTTCCGGAGAATCCTTTATCGAAAAAAAATCAGATTCGAATCGCAATCGGTGGAAGTCTATATGGAAAATTCATATTAATATTGAAACTATAAATGTAATTTCAGAAGATTTTTTTTTTAAATTGAAAATATTCAGTAGCTAGAAAACTGACCTAATTTGAAAATTCAATTTCAATTTCAATTTCCACCCCCAAATTACAAACGGAAAGCAGAGACAGTGAACAAGAGTGAGAGATGATGTAGAATCGCAGCTTATGCGAAATTTCTCAGACCAAATTTTGAAAAATGGTTCACAAAACTACAAAAACCGATAAGAGTGATACTGTATCTATAATCTATATATATACATGCGTATGTGCGTGCGTGTGTGTGTGTGTGTGTGTGAGTGTGTGAGAATTGTGGAAAAGTTGGCTGAATAAGGCAATGATAATGAAGAAGAAGAAGAAGAAATGTGAAGCAGAGATTGACGCAGCATACATGTGGCGGAGAGCAGCCCCCTAATCGGATGAGGTTTGCAATTCTCACCTCCAATTACACTCTATCCTCTCTCTCTCTCTCTCACCTCCATTTGTCTTCTTTCTCACTCCTCTTTTTTTTTTTTTTAATTAAATATTTCCAAATAATTCTACTGTGTTCTATTTTATCCGTATCTGATTAGTGGTGTTGTTTCTCTTGCTTCAAGGTTATCTAGTACTAGTAGTAGTAGCCCCTCCACTGTTTTCCCCCTCTTCCATGCACTCTTGATCAGCCTCAAGGTCTCTCTCTCTCTCTCTCTCCTCCACACACACACAACACACACTCAAGGTGTTCTTCATCTTTCTTTTTACTGATTTATTTATTTATGTGTAAAATCCAACTCTTTTGTCTAATGTTTAATTCAAGCAAAATGATAATTTTATGTTACCAATACATACCATTTGTTTACTCCTAAGTGAGTTTGGGTAGAGAAACGTCGTAAAGTATACTATAATCTCGATAAATTAATAACGTCGATTAGATAATTTTTTTTTTATGTCCTGATTCGATAAAAGAAAACGTACTAAATTATTAGTTTATATTTGTTTATTGTTATTGGGTTTGTTGTCGATTTGGATGACAGGGTTGTTGCTGGATGCTGATTATTTTCACTGACTTTTTTATTTTATTTTTTCTAATTTTTTTAAATTGATCTTTGATTCAGTGTAGTAACTATTGTTTAGTCATATTACCAATCACTCCAACTGAAGTGGTTGGTTATCCGTTATAGTAACAACCAACTATGAAATGATCTGACATAATAGAATTTTGATCAAGATTCTTCTTTTACTATAATTTTGATCAGGATTCTTTGTAGGGACTCGAAAAGAATCGTATACAACAATGGGGGAGGTAACAAATGTGACCGAGTACCAGGCTATTGCAAAGGAGAAATTGCCGAAGATGGTGTACGACTACTATGCATCCGGTGCAGAGGACCAGTGGACTCTTGCTGAGAACCAAAATGCTTTCTCCAGGATTTTGTGAGTTGTTTTATTTTTTATTTATATAACTGCTAATCTTTTGTGTTACTTTCGTCTCATGATACATGTAAAAAATAATAATACAGGTTTAGGCCTCGGATTTTAATTGATGTGAGCAAGATTGACATGACCACTACTATCTTGGGTTTCAAGATTTCGATGCCTATCATGATTGCCCCGACCGCTATGCAGAAAATGGCTCACCCCGAAGGTAAGCTTTTAGTTGCCGAAGCCTTTTTCTTTTGTGGGTGCGACTTTCAAAAGTTATTGCATAATGATATTTTTACCCTGCTAAGTTATTACATAATGATTCTTTGCTCGAATTATCTTGATTTAGCTTTTGAATTGAGCGTGTCGTAGACTCGTTTTTTCGCAATTACTTTTCTCCCGATAAATTTGAAGGCTATAGTGATTTTTTTTAAGTTTGCACCATCCAAACATAGTCTGGCTTTGCATTTTTGTTTTCTTGCAACTAAACCGTTCGTAAATGTATTTACTCGTTTGTGAAGTAATACTTATGAGTAAGTTCGGGAAAGCCCGATATCCTCAGCCTAAAAAGCTGTTGGCAGAGGTATGGAAGTTTATCTTAATCGTTTGTTTTTTTTGTTACTAACAAAACACTTGATTGGAAGTTTCAAACATAGTCGTAAGTGAGATTGATGTTTTCCAATTTGAACATTATGAATGAACTCTTTCAACACTAATAGATAAAAATACTAGGTAAATTGAATGTTTCTTGTCAATGTCCCGCGTGGCAGCATGTACTTGTTGGACGTAACTAATTAACGTTGTGAAAAAATGTATTATGCAGGAGAGTATGCAACGGCTAGAGCTGCATCAGCTGCTAATACAATTATGGTTCGGTTTCTCTCATATTTCTCTAATTCTGTTCTAATTTTGTTATAGAACTTTTGCGATACTTCTTTATAGCGGTCGTATATATTGAGCTCGTTATTGCTAACGCGTCAACAATTTAATTTCAGACATTGTCGTCATGGGCCACTTCGAGTGTCGAGGAAGTTGCTTCGACGGGACCTGGAATTCGATTCTTCCAGCTCTATGTAAGATTTTCAAAATCGCAAATCTACACTTTATAATCGAAATGTACTAAATACATGTATATTATTTGTTCAGGTGTACAAGAACAGAAAAGTTGTGGAGCAGCTTGTGAGAAGAGCAGAAAGGGCCGGTTTCAAGGCCATTGCACTCACTGTGGATACCCCTAGATTGGGACGAAGAGAATCCGACATTAAGAACAGGTTCAAATTACAAATTCACATTTGTAATTCGACTGTAATAAATTTCACTTGCATTTACTAAAAGAAGCTGTGATTTGCTCTTACACAGATTTACTTTGCCGTCAAATTTGACTTTGAAGAACTTTGAAGGTCTGGATCTTGGAAAGATGGACGAAGTAAGCGATGCATACATAAATCTTTTGTCTCGTCTGATTAATCTATCGGTTTTATGCTACATTTGAACTGATTACAATCTACATTATGTATTGTAGGCTAATGACTCTGGATTAGCTTCATATGTTGCCGGTCAAATTGATCGCACTTTGAGCTGGAAGGTAAATTAATTGAGAACGCGCCACATGTTTAGAATTGGTATAATTTGAATAATCGCCACCGAAAAACTCAAAAATCACACAATTTTCGATTGTCGACAGGATGTGAAGTGGCTACAAACAATAACCTCAATGCCTATCCTCGTGAAAGGTGTACTCACCGCTGAAGATAGTAAGACCTGCAAACTCCTTTATCTTTTCTCTTTCTAACATTAATCCATTGCATATTAAAACACCGCATTAACGGAATTTCTAAAAATCCCATATTAAAATACAGCAAGGATCGCGATCCAGAATGGAGCAGCGGGTATTATTGTATCCAATCATGGTGCTCGCCAGCTGGATTACGTCCCTTCCACTATCATGGCCTTGGAAGAGGTATCTTTTTATTTATTCACCTCCTCTAAAAAACAATTATTATATTTTATTTACGAGGCTAAAAGAATTTTCTCTCTTTGTATTATAAGGTGGTGAAAGCAGCACAAGGCCGAGTGCCGGTATTCTTGGACGGAGGCGTCAGGCGCGGGACAGATGTCTTCAAGGCATTGGCTCTCGGAGCATCTGGCATCTTTGTAAGTCAAAAAAGGGAAAATCTATCCCCCCAAAATGCTTTCAAACACATATCTTTAATTTTTTTTTTTTTACTGAACTATGTCCATTCAGATTGGGCGACCTGTCGTGTTCTCATTGGCTGCTGAAGGAGAAGCCGGTGTGAGGAAAGTACTGCAAATGTTGCGCGACGAGTAAGAGCTGACTATGGCTTTGAGCGGGTGTCGTTCGCTCAGTGAAATCACGCGTAATCACATTTCAACTGAGTGGGATGCTCCAAGGGCTCTTCCATCTGCCAAGCTATAAGAGCAGTGCTTAAGGTTGAAATCGTCATTTTTATTTTTCGTCGTGTTCACTTATTTATGATACCGAAGATATATCTGTATCTGTATCTATATCTATATATATTTCGTTGTTGGGCAAAACCCTTTCATCTGTATATTATTTGCTTAATGAATAACGGTTGAAGAACTCTCTCAGGCTTTCTAGATCTGGATTACCAGAGGGGTTTTTCGAGTTAAATCTGTTTTTGGCTGATTTAATATATATGTTTTTTATTAATCGATTTGATCTGTTTTTGGCCGATTTTTGTTCTGTTTTCGACCTGTTTACTGCTGCTCATACATAATGGTTGCTTTTAGCATTTGTTGAATGCAACCAATATGTAGATGTATTGTTCCCAGGCCAATGTTTTCACTGCAAATAAGACATGTTGTAAATAATTTATACTGATTGAATACAATGATTTTGATACAATTTTTTTTTTTAAATAAAATAAAAAATCAACAAAATGAGTTGAGCTCGAGCTTGACAGAATTCACTTGAGCTTGAGTCTGAAAATTCTGGCAAGCTAGGCTCGTTCACATTCCTAGTAAAAACTGCCAATTCGATTTTTAGGGACCAAAATGCAAATTAACTTGTCGTTAAGGGAAAAAAAAAAGTCATTTAGTCATTTTGTTCAAACTTCAAATAACCTATAGTTATGAAAAAAAGAGCCATTTAGTCATTTTATTCAAATATATCCTCTCCTATAGTAGGCATCTGTTCCCCTTGGAAATAATTGCAACTCAAATCCAAATTTGTTTTGATTTTCTTACATAGGGGTGCAAGTATCTTGAATTTTCTGGAAGTCGAACAACTTTTTGAGTTTCGAAAATTTTTGAATTGGAATTGCAAGTGTTATTTGATTTCCGGAATAAAAAAAAAATTAATTTTTGAAAGGTTGTTATCTTTATATATAAAAGTAAGATTTTGAGATATAAGTTATAATGTACGTATAAAATTTACATTTCTTTGATGTTTTTGGAGTTCGAGTTGGTTGTTTAAATTATTTAAACTAGTAATTGTACCCGTGCGATGCACGGGACAACAAATTGCATTCTTTTGATGTTGTAAGAATATAAACAAATGTTTGATGTATCGTATGATCAAAATTTTATTATACTGGAACATTATTAAGTATACTACACACAAAAAAAAAAAGGACATAATTTTACTGTTGAATAATTTTCCAAATGAATTGAATCAGCTAATACCAGTAGTTTGAAAATTTGAACCAGGAAAAAAATCATCAATTATGTCTTCCATGTTGAGCTTAAAAGTAATTAGATTTAATAACTAAGTTAACATAATCAAAGTTAAACTATCGACAACATACCATCGTAAAAGGCCATCTATACATCTTGCATCGGAACTAAGCCCTTCTCCACTGCCTCATTTTAAGGTTGTTTTGCCACTGGAATTAACAATTGGAAAATTAAGAAACAAAAATAAATATAAACAATAAATTAAATATCGCATACAAACAATAAGTCTTGAAGGTCGACTTCCAATAGCTTGTGGCTCCGCCCATTTTTGGTTAATTTTCTCAAATCATCCCTTTCAATAACATGTCCAATAACATATAAAATGAAATAATTGTTATACATAAAATTTGAAAACTTTGGTATAAATTAATGAAACACATAATTTAACAAAATGAAATTACCTATAAGCCATGATGGAAAAAGATGTAAACTAATTGCCACACATGCAATAGGATGAAGAAGAAGATAAGAAACAAAATCTAAAGTCGGGTTACCAAAAGAAGAAGCCTTAGGTAGGGAAGAAATAAAATTCAAATGTTGCAGACATTCTGTAAAACGATGTCACAAAATCCGCTAGAAATGAAAATCAGATTTATTTACCCTTTTCTGTAAAAATCGAAAATCAGATTATTATAAATAATATCTAGGAGAATTTGATGAAAATCGATAATAATATTTAAAATAATATTTCGGAGATAAAAATTTGATAAAAAAATCAAAAAATAATATTTAGGAGATAAAAATCGAAAATAAAATTTAAAATAATAGTTAGGAGATAAAAATTTGATAAAAAATCGAAAATAATATTTCAAATAATGTTAATGAGATAAAAGTTGATAAAATATGAAAATAATAATTAGAATAATATTTAGGAGATAAAATATGATTAAAATTAAAATTATTATTTAGAATAATATTTAGGAGATAAAAATTTGATAAAAATCGAAAATAATATTTAGGAGACAATAATCTAATAAAAAACGAAAATAATATTTAGGAGATAAAAAACTAAAAAAAACATAATAAAACTCGAAAAAAATATTTAAAATATTATTTAGGAGATATAATGAAAATAATAATTAGAATAATATTTAGGAGATAAAATATGATTAAAATTAAAATTATTATTTAAAATAATATTTAGGAGATAAAATAATTGCCACACATGCAATAGGATGAAGAAGAAGATAAGAAACAAAATCTAAAGTCGGGTTACCAAAAGAAGAAGCCTTAGGTAGGGAAGAAATAAAATTCAAATGTTGCAGACATTCTGTAAAACGATGTCACAAAATCCGCTAGAAATGAAAATCAGATTTATTTACCCTTTTCTGTAAAAATCGAAAATCAGATTATTATAAATGATATCTAGGAGAATTTGATGAAAATCGATAATAATATTTAAAATAATATTTCGGAGATAAAAATTTGATAAAAAAATCAAAAAATAATATTTAGGAGATAAAAATCGAAAATAAAATTTAAAATAATAGTTAGGAGATAAAAATTTGATAAAAAATCGAAAATAATATTTCAAATAATGTTAATGAGATAAAAGTTGATAAAATATGAAAATAATAATTAGAATAATATTTAGGAGATAAAATATGATTAAAATTAAAATTATTATTTAAAATAATATTTAGGAGATAAAAATTTGATAAAAATCGAAAATAATATTTAGGAGACAATAATCGAATAAAAAACGAAAATAATATTTAGGAGATAAAAAACTAAAAAAAACATAATAAAACTCGAAAAAAATATTTAAAATATTATTTAGGAGATATAATGAAAATAATAATTAATATAATATTTAGGAGATAAAATATGATTAAAATTAAAATTATTATTTAAAATAATATTTAGGAGATAAAAATTTGATAAAAATCGAAAATAATATTTAGGAGACAATAATCTGATAAAAAACGAAAATAATATTTTGGAGATAAAAAACTAATAAAAACATGATAAAACTCGAAAAAAATATTTAAAATATTATTTAGGAGATACAAATTTGATAAAATTCGAAAATAATATTTAGGAGATAAAAATATGCTAAAAGGTGAAAATTATATTTAAAATTATAGTTAGGACTTAGGAGATATAAATTTGATAAAATTAAAAAAATATTATTTATAATAACATTTAGGAGATAAAAATTTGATAAAAATAAAAAATAATATTTAGGAGACAAAAATCTGATAAAAAAAAATAATATTTAAAATAATATTTAGGGGATACAAATATGATAAAATTCAAAAATAATATTTAAAATAATATTAAGGAGATAAAAATTTGATAAAAATTGAAAAAAAATTACAAATATGACCTAGGGTTTCTTAGGGTTGCCCTAACGTTTCTTTCTTTTATATATAAGATTTGACATATAAGCTCTCTAAGTAGTGTCAACATATAATACTAAGATTTGTTCGATGCTACACCCGGTGAAAAACACCGGGTGGGTCTTCTGCT